CATTCGCACGCGTGACCGTGCTGGTCAGACATGCGGGAAGCTTCACACTAAGAACCGCTGCTTCTCCCGCCTTGACGACGCCTGGCGTGCTGAGTTTGGTGACGAGGTTGAGTGCCCTTGCTAGGCAAATTTGCTTAGGTCTGGTGTTGCTATCTTTGACCTATACTTTGATGTTATCCTTTCTGCTATGTATGCTTTGTCTGCTAGTGCTGAGGGTGACTGCTACCGGTGTGTGCCACCTTACCCAGGTATAGCGGCTGCTGCTCTAGGTGCTAGTGAGACTGGTACTCTCCCTGGTACTACGCCTGCTCATGCCTTGCACACCTTCACGTTGGACTCCGGCGCCTCGCGCTGTTTCTTTCGTGACAGCACCACCCTCTCTCCTCTCCCTGCACCTGTCCCGGTCAGACTGGCTGACCCCTCCAGGGGCCCGGTCGTTGCCCGTTCCTGCACTCGGACAGGTCGTCACCTGGCCACGTTCACTCGTCGGCCAGGGTCGAGTGTGTACACACTCGCTACCGAGCCTCCTCAGGTAGCTGCGTCTGCTCAGGTGTCCGCGTCCGGTCAGGTAGCCGCTTCTTGCTCGTGTCACCTCCTGTCGCACCAGACTCTTCTTTGGCACCACCGCCTGGGTCACCCCTCCCTGCCACGCCTTTGTGGCATGCACTCCCGTCTTCTTGTCTCTGGTCTACCTAGGTCTCTGCCTCCCCTCCCGGCCTCGCCTGCCCCGCCCTGCCTTCCTTGCATCGAGGGGCGGTAGCGCGCCGCTCCTCACTCCTCCTCGTTTCCCCCGACGACTGCTCCCCTGCAGACTCTCCACATGGACGTGTGGGGCCCAGCCCGTCTCAGTGGACAGGGCCGCGAGAGCTACTTTCTGCTGGTAGTTGACGACTACACGCGGTACACCACGGTCTTCCCCTTGCGCAGCAAGGGTGAGGTCGTTGATGTCTTGATCCCTTGGATCCGTACAGTCCGTCTCCAACTCCGCGAGCGGTTCCGCCAGGACCTTCCTGTCCTGCGTCTGCACTCTGACAGTGGTGGTGAGTTCTCCGACCTCTTGCTGGACTTTTGTCGTGGGGAGGGCATTCTCCAGTCATTGACGCTTCCGGACTCCCCTCAGCAAAATGGGATTGCTGAGCGCCGCATTGGCTTAGTCATGGAGGTCGCTCGTACCTCCATGATCCATGCGGCTGCTCCCCATTTTCTGTGGCCGTTTGCGGTCGGGTACGCTGCGCATCAGCTCAACCTCTGGCCCCGTGTCTCCTTGCCGGAGACCTCGCCCACACTGCGTTGGATGGGGGAGGTTGGCGATGCGTCGGTGTTCCGGGTCTGGGGTTCACGTGCCTTTGTTCGCGATACGTCCGCGGACAAGCTGTCCGCCCGTGCTATCCCCTGCGTCTTCCTTGGCTTTGTCCCCGACGCGCCTGGCTGGGAGTTTTACCACCCCACCTCGCGCTGTGTCTTCCCCTCTCATGACGTCACGTTTGACGAGTCGGTTCCCTTTTACCGTCTCTGCCTCTCCCCCGCCCCCACCGCTCTTCCTTGCTCCCGGCCCCCCTCCGGTAGACCCCCTCCCGCCCCAGGGTCCTGCTCCCTCAGGTGTGTCTCAGGTAGACCCTCTCCCTGGTATTGCGCCTGTCGAGGTAGCTGTCGGCTCAGGTGCTGCTCGAGGTGCTGCGTCTGGGGATGCGGAGCCGGGGGGTGCGGAGTCTAAGGGTGCTGGATCTGGGGGTGCTGAGCCTGGGGGTGGTGAGCCTGCGGGTGCTGAGCCAGGGGGTGCTGAGTCAGAGCGTGCGGAGTCTGGGGGTGCTGAGCCTCGGGGTGGTGCTTCGTCTGGAGGTTCGGCTGGTGCTTTGCCAAGACTGTCTTTGCAGCAGCTACGTGAGTGGCTTGTTTGCTATGCACGTCTTCGGAGTGGAGCTACCGGAGCTGGAGGTGCTGGTGTTACTATTGGAGCTGGTAGTACTGGAGGTACTGCGGCTACTAGTCCTGGAGGTGCTCGTACCGGGATTACTGGAGCTGCTGGGACTGGTGGTGTTGGGGACGCTGGAGCTGGAAACCCTACGGAGCCTGGAGCTGCTGGAGCTGGAGGCTTTGGCGCTGGTGGCGCTGGAGCTGGAGGAGCTGGAGTTGGAGGCACTGGCGCGGGAGGCGCTGGAGCTGCAGGAGCTGGAGCTATTGACCCTGGAGCTGGAGGTGCTGGAGGCACTGTGCGGCCGCGACCGTACTTGGTTCCCCTGCTTCAGCACGTTCTTGGTGTCCCGTCTTCTACCAGCCTTACTTCTCCACTCCTGTGTCCACAACCTGACCAGTCGCAGCCGCCGTTACTGTCAGCCTCCCCACTGCCTGCTCCCTCTCCTTACACTGAGCAGTCCGGCAGTCTTACAGAGCGTCGTGAGCCTGTGTCTCGTCCTGTCTCGCCTGTTCATCGCGTTCCTCGTTCGCGTCCTCCTCCTGTCCCCGGCACGCATGCTATGGCACTCCGTCCTTCCTCTGTTCCACTGCGTGTTCCTCTGCTCCTCCTGAATCCTCTTTTCCTGAGGTCCCTGACCTTGAGTCTGACCGCGCTCGTGCTGCCAGTCCCACTGTTGCTCGTCTCCTTGCCACTACTGTCACTGACCCTTCCTTTGAGTCTGCTGCTGCGTCTGCTCTTGTTGCTGAGCTGCTTGACTTTTCTACTGCCTATCGTCTAGACTATGCCGCTGCTCTTGTTGCTGAGTCTGAGTCTGCCAGTCCTCCGTCCATCGGGGGTGAGTGTGCTCTTGCCACGGACGTCCTTGAGGACAGGCACGAGGGCTTTGAGTGTCTTGCAGCTGCTGTACCTCGTTTCTCTTCCATGCACCAGACATCTCGACCCCGCACTCTTACGCAGAGGCGATTACGGGTCCTTACTCCTCTCAGTGGCAGGCAGCCATGGATGTCGAGATGGCATCCTGGAAGTCCACAGGCACTTACGTCGATGAGGTTCCGCCACCTGGGGCGAACATAGTCGATGGCATGTGTATTTTCAGGGTGAAGCGGCCGCCGGGTTCTCCGCCCGTTACGTTGCTCCAGGCTTCTGTCAGCGACACGGAGTCGACTACTTTCAGACCTTCTCTCCCACCTTGAAGATGACTACTCTTCGGGTGTTGCTGCACGTCGCTGCTCAGCGTGACTACGAGCTGCACTCTCTGGACTTCAGTACAGCGTTCTTGCAGGGCAGCCTGCACGAGGAGATCTGGCTGCGCCGCCCACCTGGCTTCACTGGGTCGTTTCCTGCAGGTACCCAGTGGAGCCTCTGGCGGCCAGTCTATGGTCTCCGCCTGGCGCCTCGCGAGTGGCACGACACACTGAGGACTACACTTGCGGCTCTTGGGTTTGCTCCTTCTACTGCTGACCCGTCGCTGTTTCTACGCACCGACACCTCGCTGCCGCCGTTCTACATCCTTGTGTACGTGAACTGGCCTTGTGGCCCTTTGCTTGTGCTCGGATTGTGTGGTGACTTTGTGATCCACCCTGAGCTTGTTTTGCTTTTCTTGACTGGTCTTGTGACCACTTGTTCTCCCCCACTTTGCCTATGGGGGTGTGTCAAACTTATATATAGCTTACATTGTGTAGGCTGTAGTGGGGTAGCCCATAAGGGGTACAACCCAATTAGGGTTAGTACTTGTACCCAACTCTCTGCTAGTTCATTCATTCTCATTCGTTCTTTCTGACAATAGTCCGGTGAGGTTAGAATCAGGTGTGTTGGTTACTTCGACCACGTTGTCATCGTCGCTAGACATCTCGCGAATGGTGTCGTGAGAGGGGTTGGGTCTTCCTCCATGGGTGAGTGTATGTCAGCACTTTCGTAATTGTGTGGTGCCTATACTGATTCGTTTGGATCAGGTTTGGTTGGGATGAACGTTGCGGTGCCGAACTCTCCTATAACGGGGACGAAATGTGCCTCTCCGATGAATTTATATTCTGGTACTTGTTCTGCCACGTCAACCTCATCCTGGTCGCTTGCGTAGCTGTGCCACCCTGGAGGATGTTGTCAGGTGCTTTCTGTGTGTTGCTGGCATAACAGTGGCAGCTTCAGATTTTCGTAGAAGATGCAATCACGTGAACGCGTGACTTGGTGGGTGGCAAAGTCGAGGATTATCCATGCATGGTACTCCTGCTCGATGCCGAGGTGAATGCCCCAACGGGCTCGGTCTTCAAATGTTCCTGTTCAGGCAGTGTGGGGTCTGTACTGTACCGTGCAGTCGAAGACCCGGAGCATTCGTGCGTCTACACTCTTTTCAGTCCACTCCATGAAAGGTGAGCTGTTGTTGGGCAGGGCTTTGGAGGAGAGAATGTTGTGCAGCTGCACAACATGGGCCATCGCGAAGGGCCAATAGATGGTCGGCACAGCTGACTGCTTCATGAGTGCCCTCAATTTTTTCACGAGGCCCCTGTTGGTTCGTTCCGCCAAACCCTGCTGCTCGTGAGCATAGGTTAGCGAAATCATCCGCTTGATCCCCTTCTTCGCGCAGAGCTTCTTGATTTTTTCAATGACGTACTCTGCTGCTCTGTCCGTTTGGAAGGCCTTCAATGTGATTGTGCCATCTTCAGCCAGAGGTCAAAGCACTCAAAGTCGAGGTCGCGGCTAGAGACGTTAGTGGCCCAGACAAATTGTGTAACTGCATCGATGAATGTGATCGTGTAGTGCTCCCCTTTAAGCCCGCGTGCGGTAAGGCATAGAAAATCGCTGTACACTTTGTCCAGCTCCTTGTAGCACTCGGTGCCGGGACCTTTTCGGGAAAAGTTTTATGTGCAAGGGCCGTAGTTTGGGTATATCCGTTCTCGGTTGAAGTTTGTTCTAATCAGGTAGCAGTAGCGCATCTTTTGCGACCACTCCAGTGTTCATAGTTTTTTTTGCATTCTCAATAGCTGTTCAGAAATCATTGACGTTTCCACCAACCCCATCCCATGCTTCCCACTCGCCCCAGTGGGGAAGAGGCAGAGCTGGAGCGTCTGCAGAAGACGCGGTCGTGCTAATGCATTCGCTCATACTTTTCCATACTTTCCCATGGCCCATTCATCCCATGCTGCTTGTGCGCACCAGTGGAGAGGAGGCGGAGCTGCGGCGTCTGCAGGTTGTGAGGCCAGTCATCCATTCTCCCATTCGTCAATTTCCACGCCCCAACAATCCCATCTGTGCTTCTCGTGCATACCAGTGGAGTAGAGGAAGAGCTACAGCTCCTGCAAGAGGTCACGCCATACATTCACTCATTCTTTTCCATGCTTCCCCTGCCCCATTCATTGCATGCCCCACTCATCCCATTCACCGTGATTCCCATGCTACTGGTATGTTTACTCCAGTGAAGAGGAGGCAACAGCGGCGAACAGCGACGGCAAGCAGCAGCAGCAGCACCAGCGGTGGCGGCTCAGTTGCGAGCTGCTGCCTCGCAGGGCCTCTGCCACCACGCCCTGCACTCAACCAGATGCTCAATGTGCTGCTGCTGCTACGCCCTGCACCCAACCAGATGCTCTGGGTGCTGCTGCTGCTACGCCCTGCACCCAGCCAGATGCACTGGGTGCCGCTGCTGCTACGCCATGCACCCAACCAGATGCTCTAGGTGCTGCTGCTGGTGCTACGCCCTGCACCCAACCAGATGCTCTAGGTGATGCTGCTGGTGCTACGCCCTGCACCCAACCAGATCTGTCGGTGCTGCTACAGCGAGCGGCGACAGCGGGTTGACGTGACGGAATCCCAAAGAACTACTCTCCCTCTCCCATCCCACTGTAGATGATGCCAAAAGGTTGGGAGAAGCCAAACCAGGTTGGCAAGTGTGGCCAAGTTGGGTGAGGTGGATGGCATGAGTTGGGAAAGTGACAAATGTCAACGTTGGGGTGCCTATAGAGGGGGGAATTGTGTGGTATGGGGTTTCCTTGGTTGGGGAATCTCTTGGGACCTTCCCTCTCGTCCTCTTCATCCCCTTCTACCTGGTTCTTGCTACTCCAACTTTCTTGTGTGAACTTGTGAGACAACTTTGTGATTGAGTTAAGTTTCTATGGCAGCTTACCCCCTAGTGCGCCGAATTTCATAACTCGAGTTATGCTTGATATTTTGAAACTATTCAAATTGGGAAAGATAGCCACGGTCAAGGGCTACAACATACTCAAGTTTGAGAGAATTCTGACAGAGCGTGTTTTGTCAAAGACGTTTCTTGTGACGAGGACGTTTCTGTTCAGAATTATAGTTGACGATTTTGAGATATTTCGGCCCTTAATCTTCATAGACTCCGTGCTTAGTCTCTAACACCTCCTTACCCATCCCTCCCTTTCCCATTTGTCCGTCCTGCCCTCTCCCATTTGTCCTTCCCAACCAACCCACTACTGCTCCCCTTTCCCATTAATCATTGTCCCCCTCCCATCTCACCCTTCAATCTCCCTTGCAAACATCCTTGAAATTTATACATCACGTCGTTCCCATTTCCTCATCTCTCATCCTGTCGATGGACAGCTGCACGACTACCGCTATTGGAGAGCAAAATTGGGCTCCTCTCGGATAATGATATTCCGAACGGTATAAGTTTATGTCTCAGTTGAACCATTGCAAGAAAGTTTGTGCAATCGGTGCATGCTTCAGAGGTATACCTTCGAGGCACCTTTTCTTTTTTTAACAAATGGTGTCAAACATTTTTTTTTTTTTTTTTCATATGAGGTAATGTAATCACCGGTGTTGACCTTGTTACTTGTGAATTGGTGGTTCTATGGTGTATTGTAGAAACAATAAGGGCGCGTCACCATTTTGACGTTTCGTTTTTTTTCCAAAATGACCCGTTTTAACGAAGAAGTGTTAGTGTCTTCGTTACAGCCCAAGACCCGGATTACAAAAGAAGAAGGCAAACTGTGCACAGTTTGCCTGCCGCAACCTGCATTTTTGCCCCTGTTGACTTGCGTTGAGTAATTTAGGTCTTGGGCTTCACGGGTTCGCACGAAACTCGGTTTGAAAGAAATCGTGCAATCCCTTGACGAAGACAGTAACACGGCATATTTTTAAATGTTCGTTTTGGTGAAACGAAACAGTCAAAATGGTTACACGCCCTAACCGCACGCTGGGGTAATTGAGGGGGTTGTCAGAATCGTGAACGAAGTGAATGAACTAGCAAGCAGGTGGGTACAAGTAGGAAACCTAAAAGTGTTGTACCCTATATGAACTACCCCACCACAGCCTAAACAGACTATAGCATATAAGTTTGACACACCCCTATAGGCAAAGTGGGGGAGAACAAGAGGTCACAAGACCGGTCAGGAAAGGCAAAGCAAGCTCAGGGTGGATCACAAAGTCACCACACATTCTGAGCACAAGCAAATGGCCACAAGGCCAGTTCACATGCAGAGTTATATAAAGGAGAACAAGCAATACAGTGATCACAACCTAGTAAGTGTAAGCATGCAGGTATATGTATAGAGATCACAGTACAAGCAGAGTCAAGAATTAAGCAAGTGAGGCACAGTAGGTACAAGGCCTAGAACAGTACAGAAACGCTGATGATCACAAGGCTGAAGTGCCTTGGTGAAAACATCAGCAGTGTTGGCCCGAGAGGCCACGTAAGCAAGACGAAGCTGACCACGCTGCTGCAACTCTCGAGCAAGGAAGTAGCGCAGAGCAATGTGCTTCGTTCTGTGCTCCAGCCTGTGCTCTTGACACAAGGCAAGCATTGCCTTGTTGTCGACGTACAGAACTGGAGGAGAACGAGGCGCCTCTCCCAAGTCGGTCAGCAGGTAGGTGAGCCAGCGTAACTCCTGTGCAGCCATGGCCCCAGCGTAGATCTCAGCCTCACAACTAGAGCTGAGAACAGAAGACGAGCGGGTAGACCGCCAAGAGACAGAACCGGAGCCACGGCTGAAGGTGTAACCCTGTGACGACCGCTGCGTAGCCAATTCGTCAACCCAGGAAGCGTCTGCGTGACCAGTGAGGACAACTCGAGCCCGTCCTCCAAGCACGAGCCCAATGCCCGACGTACTACACAAGTAGTGCAACACCCTCTTCGCAGCATCCCAGTGCACCTTTTGGTGCCTGCCGGGAGCCACGTAGCGAGCCCGAAGGCTGAGAGGGTACGCGAGGTCAGGTCGTGTGCAAGTCATGAGGTACATGAGGCAGCCCACAAGCTCTGGATACGGGCCACTCGGCTCTACGGACTCGTCCAAAGGTGGAGCTGAGAGCGAGTGACCGGTAGGCAGAGGAGTGGACTGTGGCGAGGAGTACGTGAAGCCGAAGCGCTGAAGGACCTGCTGCACCATGTGTGACTGAATCAAGGTAATGGTGCACTATGCTCTGTCCCGGGTGATCTGCAAGCCAAGATAGATTGTCAGTTCACCCAGGTCTGTGCACGTGTGTCTCTTCTGCAGCTCCGACTTCACGTGGGCGAGTGCCTCAGTGTCAGCAGTAGCAAAGACCAAGTCGTCTACGTACACAAGAACGTAGAACGGCGGCAGAGTGGTGTCGGTGCGTAGAAACAGCGACGGGTCAGCAGTGGAAGGAACAAAACCAAGAGCAGCAAGAGTCGTCCTCAGTGTGTCGTGCCATTCACGGGGCGCCTGGCGGAGACCGTAGACTGGCCGCCGGATGCTCCACTGGGTACCAGCAGGAAACGAGCCAGTGAAGCCAGGTGGGCGGCGCAGCCAGATCTCCTCGTGCAGGCTGCCCTGTAGGTAGGCTGTGCTGAAGTCAAGCGAGAGTAGCTCGTAGTCACGCTGAGCGGCGACGTGCAGCAGCACCCGAAGAGTGGTCATCTTTGGGGTAGGGGAGAAGGTCTGGAAGAAGTCAACTCCCTGTCGCTGACTGAAGCCTCGTGCAACGTAACGCGCCTTGAAGACAGGCGGAGAACCCGGCGGCCGCTTCGCCCTGAAAATCCACATGCCACTCACGATGTTCGCCCCAGGCGGGGGAACCTCGTCGACGTAGGTGCCTGTGGACTTCCAGGATGCCATCTCGGCATCCATGGCTACCTGCCACTGAGAGGTGTAGGGACCCTCTATCGCCTCTGCATAAGAGCGCGGGGTCGGGATGTCTGGTGCATCCGGGTCTCCCTCAGGGGCAAGCAGCATGGACACGAGATGAGGTACAGCAGCGGCAAAGCACTCAAACTCCTCCTGTCTGTCCTCAAGGACGTCCGTGCCAAGAGCACACTCACCCCCGACGGACGGAGGACAGACAGACGCAGACTCAGACTCAGCAACAAGACTAGCGGCATAGTCTAGACGACAGTGAGCAGCAAAGTGGACAAGCTCAGCAACTAAGGCAGACGCAGCAGTGGACTCAAAGGAAGGGTCAGTGACAACAGTGGCCAGGAGACGCGTGACAGTAGGACTAGCAGTACGAAGTGAGTCAGACTCTGGGTCAGCAAGGGCAAGAAGAGAGGACGCAGGAGGAGACGGCAGAGGGACACGCTGTGGAGCAGTGGAAGGATGGAGAGACATAGAGTGAGTGCCGGGGACAGGAGGAGGATGCTGACGCGGAACACGACGACCAGTGCAAACAGGGAAAACAGGCGACTCAGGACAAGACTCAGGTGACGCAGGACGAGTCTCAAGCAACACAGGACGAGACTCAAGCTCACAACACTCCGTAAGACCTCTAGTCGTTCCAAAGTAAGGAGAAGGACCAGGAAGTGGAGAGGCTGGCTGTAACTGCGACTGTGACTGGACAGGCGGTGGACTCAGTAAGGGAGGAGGAGGACCAGTAGAAGTCGGGAGACCAAGAAACTGCTGAAGGAGCGGAACGTAGTACGGCCGCGGCCGCGCAGCGCCTCCAAAAACAGCAGAGACAGCACCAGTACCCTCAGCTCCAGGGTCTCCAGCTACAACTCCCGCAGCACCACCAGCTCCAGTACCTCCAGTCGCTCCAGCTCCAGCAGCACCTCCAGTAGCAATAGCTCCAGCACCTACAGCTCCAACTCCTGCAGCACCAGTAGTACCTCCAGCACCAGCACCTCCAGGACCAATAGCTCCAGCAGCCCCAGCACCAGCAGCACCTCCAGCAGCTCCAGAAGCACCTCCAGCAGCTGCAGCACCAGCAGCACCTCCAGCAGCTCGGCAACAGCGCCGACTATACCACTCATGAAGCTGCTGCGGAGAGAGGGGCTCCCGCCGCAACGGGACACCCGGAGAACCGCCAGACTCAGCACGCTCAGGCTCAGCACCCTCAGGCTCAGCACCCTCAAGCTCAGCACCCCCAGGCTCATCACGCTCAAGCTCAGCACCCCCAGGCTCAGCACCCCCAGACTCAGCACCCCCAGGCTCAACACCCCTAGCAGCACCTGAGTCGACAGCTACCTCGATAGGCTCGACAGGGTCTACCTGGGACACACCTGAGGGGGGAGGGGGTCTACAGGAGGAGCACCTGGTGCTAGGAAGAGTGGCGGGGGGGAGAGAGAGGCAGTGCGGTAGGGAAAGAGACGGTAGTAAGATACCGACTCGTCAAACGTGACGTCCCGAGAGGACAGAATACGACGCGAGGTGGGGTGGTAGAACTGCCACCCGGGTGCGTCAGGGGGGAAGCCAAGGAAGATGCAGGGAACGGCACGGGAGGACAGCTTGTCCGCGGAAGCATCGCAGACAAAAGCTCGAGATCCCCAGACACGGAACACAGACGCATCGCCAACCTTCCCCGTCCACCGCAGAGTAGGTGTAGTCTCCGGCAAGGAGACACGAGGCTGAAGGTTGATCTGATGCGCAGCGTACTGAACCGCG